ATTTGCTCAAAACATCAGGAACAACAACGAAGGTCCTCAGCTGTTTGAAGATACCGCTGACTACCACGCGTTTTATCGAAAATTGTGAGAACGTCGTCCCCAGGTTCTAGACCTCGCCAAGTCTTCCCTCCCTCACACCTCCCGGACTGGTCTCTTAATCCCCTTGAAGAAACTCTTCTACAGCCAGTGCTGAAGAGTTTTATTACAGTTTTTATTATAATGAGGAGCTAGAAAATAAACTTAGAAGAGCTCAGCTTAAAGGCTTGGCTAAATCTATACATTATATGAATTTATTATAATTAATCTACCGACTCAAAGACTACTCACGTTCAAGGAATTGCATGAATGAGCTCAAAATGAGAGTTATGTGCAAACACGCTTAGAATATATTACCAAATTCTATTGTTTTATCTTGTTGATAGATGAGTTGCGTTGTTATCAGTAAGCTTAAATCCTGAATAATTTCATTAAGAAGTTGAAAAGATTCTTTTACGTTTGCCTTGTGTTTATGATTAGCTGATATGAGATGTGAAAAAGCTATTTGAACAACTTTACCTTGCCATGACGCGTCGATGAAATTAAAACACCTGGCTGCGTAACCTGCGAAGAAGAGGGCGAGGAGAAAACTTGGACTCATCTGGACGTTCAAAGAAGCCAACTTGTTTCAAAATAGTCCAGAAAAACTCTGAGGAATGATTAAATAAACAAAAGAAAGGTACTCGAGCTCTTACAATAAGCACGTAATCTACATGTAATCTACATAAGAGAGATTACGTTACATGTCACGGGGAAGAGTCTTTTTTGCCAGGAGTGAGGAGGGCATGGGGAGGGTAAGTCCGCGGTTGCGTGAAACAATGTTATATATTAAAAATGTTGGTCCAAAGAATAGCCAAAGCATAATAAATCCTGATAATAATAATTTGCTATCATTATCTTAATTTTTCGAGGGACAAAAAACTTTATAATTATCAGAGGAAGTTTAGGATAACCTCGTGTCCAGACTCCCAAAGCCTGTCGGGAAGTGGGAACGAATAGGGTTGTTGTGGTTGCAGAATTTGCTTGCGTCAATTAACCCTAAACGCATAATCTTGCAGCTTGTGGCAATTCATGAAGAAAATCGTCTTCGAGCCAAATCAATTTGATTCAGTCCAGCGCTTATCTCGCAGCAATTCAAAGCGGAAAAAAAATATCACTTGTAGGAATACTTACGACCAATCAAGAGTTATAATCCCTTAGAGCTTTTTTAGAGATTGCTTTAACTGTCTTATGCTTCGTTTTTCGCCGGGCCTTAGCGTTTCTTTATATTTTTGTCATGCGAATGCGAAACTGTAACAACAGTCTGCCTCCCACCCCTTCCTGAGCACTGAAAGACTGCATCCAACTCCTCCGTTAATACTACTGATCTGCCTCCCCCCGATAAAATGGTCCAAAAATTGGTCCACAAAAAGGTCCAAACAATGGTCCAAAAAATGGACTGAATGAGAAAATAATTTATTATTTTTTTCTAGATTTCGCTCCTCCAAACGGCCATGTAATACTGTTTTGTCATATAAACATAAAGGAAAAACCGAACCATTTAATTTGCATGCGATTTACTTTGTAACAATAGCGTCCGTGCGGTATTCATATATAAAAATAACGATACGCGTGTCACATGTTTGTGAGGGAGCTCTTCTACTAATTCACTATTATGCGTATAATGAAAAGAGGATATTACATGGCCGCATGGAGATACTAGTGACTCTCTCTTGATGAAAAGGCAATCCATTCTACTCTAACTGCGAAAGGCACAACTCTTATTTAACCGCAGAGACCATGTTATTTGCAAGTTTTCGCGCGGAAGGTCACGTGGTATTTCACTGCCGTTGTTCTAATAAGAATATTCATTTCCTTGCAGAAAAATGTTACAACTTTGGAATTCTGGTACATCTGAGCACAGTATAGAAGACCAAGACGTCGTTAACAGAAACCATACAGAGGGACATTTAACCTCTTTTAAGTTCTACTGATTTGTTTGTCAATAAATTTAATTTGAAATTAAAAGCTTAAAAATCTGGAGGTGGAAAACTGACAGTCTCTTCAATTTAATGTAATTATTTTGACAAATCATTATTGGGAACGACATATTATGTTTACAATATACGAACTCTTTTAAAAATTTTCCACTGTACATCATTTACGATACATCACTTTAAATGATGATAACAGGTGGCATTGAATGACAAAAATGAATAAATAATTCAGTTAGCTGTAGAAATATGCGGATTTGGATTCCTTTTTCCAGTTTCTTTGTCTGTTTACAATGAGAGTGTAAATTCTTGATTTTAATTCATCAACCCTTTCCTTCTATACTCCAAAGTGAATTTTTACAAACGTTAAAATTGGTTCTAATTTTTGCGATATTTACAGGCATTTAATTAATATTCTTGGCTTTGTCTATTGTTAATCACGAATGAAAAAGTTCTGCCATCACAATAGACAAAACTTGCAAAACATTTCACATTTTCTATACATTCTTCTTTAACTTTTCATTTTTTTTTGACACCTCTGGTTTTGTTGTGGTTCTTTAAACTTTTTTTTTACAAAAATTACATTATCGCTTTGCTCGTGAAATTTATACTTCAAGCGTAGCACTTCCTTGGTTCCGGCGTCTGTCACGCCTCCTTAAATGAAATATATACCCCCCTGCAAGGATCAGGAGTGATAAAAACACG